GGCCTATAATTGGACCGTTCTTTCTTCATTTTGAAGGGATAAGGATTAGGATATTTGATAAGAAGTTCATTAGGACATTTGATACATCTATTCTAAGTAATGTTCACAGTTATATATTTGATATACTTTGCATCTATGTTGTTGTGGCTGTGTGAACCAAATAAAACACTTTTTTCTGATCTCTTTATACTTATACTGCGAATCAATTATTATCATTATTTACTGCATGACGTGATAATCATGCTCTGTACGTGCGAATTAGTTTTTTTAGTTCTTTTTAGTTTTTTATTAAAATGCCATTATATTAAAAGAAAATGCGAGACACTAATTCCCCAATAATAACTTTATTTAATATCTATTCTTGAATTAATTTTAATTAAGGCTAGCTTTTTATTTCACTTCGAATGGACCATCCTCAAAGAATATTCCATCATCTCTATCATCTGTATCCTTCATTGTGATCTCCACCTTGAAAGTACCGCTGGTTGGTGCAGTCAGGATCTTGGAGAACTGGMTATTTACGCCCTTTTCTAGCACTTTATCGTCTTGATCACCASCATCKTCATGGTCATTATTGCTGTCTTTCTCCTCTGAATTGGTTCTRACTTCAATCCSAAACGTCTTTTTTGATCTGGAGCCTGTATATACAATGGAAGCGTTATACAAGAACTCTTTACCTGCGACAAGAGGAATCCAAGGTTCCATATCGGACATGACGGCAACAATCTTGGGTTGAATGTCAACYTCCCTTGTGAATCTATATCCTGATAAGGTTTCGCCAGTCATTGTGATATTGAAGGTATTACTTCCAAGGACGTTTTCGGATTCGCAAATTAAGGAGTCATCGGCCCAATCAATGTCCAAGCATTTTAATCCAGGAAAGGATAGAGTGCTGCTGTTCAGTCGAGATAAGTTTGGGATAACAATTTCCAGTCTAGCTTTCTCCCCTGAAGTCAAATAATAAAAAATAGTCATGTTGTTTAACCATAGCAATTTTACACCTATTTATACCTTTTCATTCTTTGGAAACAACAATAMAAAATGGCAAAATTTTACTTATTTATGAGCTTAAAAACTAATTAAATAATGCTTGTATTTAATACCTATCAGTGGATGCTCCAAAGCAACTTCTTTTCCTCCGTGCGTCTTCTCTCTCAAAAAAATCGTTTCGAAGGTAATGTCCAGATCTGTATGCGACAAAACCTAAAAAATAGAAGCATAAAATTGCAGCATCGCGTCCACTTGTTGCGCACTCTTCACGGTTTTGCAAGATCGTATCTAACCGGTTTACTACCTCTTTGTTAAAGAAAAGAAAACAATAAGATTAAAGAGCGAGGAAACAATAAGCATTGTTTTATTCCTATAATCACAGAAGACCTTACAAGCTCGTGGAGGTTTATAACAGCATTTATAAAATTTTTCATATATAACGCGCGCTCTGATTGGCTGACGACCGTGTTTATATCAGAGGACAGAGACACGGCTTACCGGCAAAATTTTATTTTCGCTCGAAAAATTTTATAAATGAAATATAAAACGGCCGCTTGTGTCTCTGTCCTCTGATATAAACACGGTGGTAGTTGAAAAACACTCGAGAAGGAAGAGAAACACTCGCTACGCTCGTGTTCCTAAGCTTGCTTCTCTCGTGTTTTTCGAACTCCCACCGTGTTTATATCAGAGGACAGAGACACACGCGCGCCGTTTTATATTTCTTAAATTTTGGCATTATAGGTCATTATAGCCAAATATATAATTTACGCTTATATAAAACCCAGAATCTCTCGACATTCAAATGATATTTAATAGAAAATTTTAATTTACTTTAATGTCCTGAACATCGCCAGGAACAAATCTCCATCTTCCTTTCGTGGGTTTATAAATGGTCCAAACTCGATAGATATCGTTATCTATTTCAGGGCGTTTTTGGTTGCCGTTTGGATTGAACAGTTTGATTCCCCTGTTGTCATGTTTATAGCTTGGATGTCGATAGTTCCACATTGTGCAATATCATCGATCACAAACTCTCCAACGCTTATTTCAATCCCTCGCTTTGGCTTGCTTTGTCTCTTAACATGCCTGCTAACGATGGTAAAAGTGCCTACAAGATTTTTCTTGACCTTAGTTTCAATCTTTTTCAAGTCTTTTCTCACGGATGAATAACCACCCCTGATCAGCCAAAGAAACCCTCCAGTTGACCATATGATAAGCTTGTATCTGCCTTTCGATTTTGTCGAGCAGTAAGGCTTCATTACAAAAACATTGACAGACATTTTATTCCTCTTAGCGTGATATTTGGCGCTTTCCAAAGTATACTCTCCAAAGGGTCTCGGCAAGTTGTTTGTGAATACGAATATAGGAGAGCTTTTTCTTGGGTAACCTTGTGTTATTCCTCTGATAATGCCRGCATAAGTTGGCTGAAAGCAGTCAGCTTCCTTATTTTCCTCTGGAAACTCGCTGTTACCGAGGTCGTCAAGAGCTTTTTCGAATTCAGCAAGGGTTCCATAAGTTTTAACATCACCAATCAGACTACGATCATCGGTACCTACAATGTAGAATGAACAGTAAAGGCTGATTTACACGGTACGATTTGCCGCGTATACGATTTTCCTACTACAAGTCGTAGGATTTTAAGCAGTTGTTCAAAATCCTACTACAAGTCGTACACTGCGCGATTCAAGTCGTATACTAAAAATCGCACGAGACAATCGTGCCGTGTAAATCATTCTTAACGAATAGCTCAGATAACGCACACAATTATATAAACAAATCCTTAAGTTTGTGGAAGAATCTTTTGGTGAAATCTAAGATAACTGAATATCTACTGCACTGACAAAAGGGCTTCTCAAATCTTTTTTCATATGCACATTATGTCGATAGCCATTCATGTCTATCAATATTATCGTGCTTTAATTCATACCCATTGAAAACGTTGACAAGACATAGTCGACATCCGATTTGTAATCATATCTGGCAATATCTTTGGCGACCGCTATAGCCGTGCCAATATTTGTTTTCATCCTCCTACCGATGTCCACCACAAAAGTTAAAGTCAGCTTGCCATCGGCGTTTATTAGTTTCTGTTGATTTAAAGTGTAAAAAAACCCTCAAAACTACAAAAGTTTGATAAGAGCAGTGAAGCAGGGAGCAAGAAGTAACAAAACTTAGTGTACATTCAGGAGCACGGAACTGAAATCAGCAAAAGTACTGTCAATATAGAAAGCACATAATGCAGCACAAAACAAGAAAACCTCACCAAATGCAAAAATTATCACTGGCATTGTGCAAAACAGAATATAGAAATACTGAATATCATTAGATTGATACAATGCTCCATGGCAGACATGACTTGCATATCATCACATTACCTTGAATCCTTCATTCCCGATTTCGTTTTTGAGTTCTTTAGCAATTCCTCCATAATAGCAACCATTTTGTTGAGCAAGGAGTACCCCAAACAAATTTCTAGCATATTTGACTTTACGGTATGTGCTGACCAGAAGCGAATCTTTAATCTTCTCAATCAAGAAATCCTTATTTAAGTCTGGATCAATTTTTTTGAAACGTTTATTATTCATGACTGAAGAAGGAACAGAAAAAAAATTAATGATTTTTTTTAACGGTCGATGTTGACAGTGTTAACAAAAAGTTAACGTTTATTCATTGTTTACCTTTCCATATTTCAGAAAAAGTTGCAATCTGATTGTTATTGACTACTATTGTAGGGTCGAACACATTTAGGAGCTGTATCAAGAAGCCATCGAAACTGCAGGGGTCTAAAACAGAAACAAACCGAAGTACAAGTGCTTGGTCGAAGAATATGTCCACAACAGCCATTAACATACAAAAAAATCTTTCGCGATTCTGACTTAGTGATTATTATTGATTTTACT